TTCAGCATGATGGTGCACCTCCTCATTATGCAGCTCCAGTGCGACAATTTTTGGATGATCATTTTCCTGGTCACTGGGTTGGCAGAATGGTCACCAAGGTCTCCGGATCTCACTCCAGTAGATTTATTTCTATGAGGTCATTTGAAGTTTGAAGTGTATGAGATAGAATCAACAACATTAGAAGATTTGAGAGAATATTATGAGGCATTACAGAGAAATAACTTCCGAGATTCTCAACCATGTGAAGGCGGCAATGGAAGCTCGCTTGTACCATTGTATGGAAGTCGGTGGAAACGTTTTTGAACATTTACTATAGAAAATTGTTTTCTTCTCATTGTCCAGTTATCATATTTAGATTACAGAAATGATAAAAAATATTTTTTTCTGATTTATTGCTTTTATATTTGTTTCTAGAACGGATATTTCAAAATGTGGCCTCCTGTATAATTGTTGACCTGTTTTTAATTGTTCCTGCAAATCATTGTTTCAAAAGTTATTCAGGGTGGCTCGTTTTCAACTCAAATAATTTGTTGCTTCCGAACTATAACCTTCAGATCATGTGTTTTACACTTTGTTACACTTTTCTCATCATGGAGCATCTGATAATGTGAAACAATATAGGGTAATCCATTTAAAAAACTTGGTGAAGAAAGAAAGGTTAATGCAGTCAAGCTGCTGGAAAATAATTCCATGAAAATCAAAAGATGAATAAATAAGTACCATTCTGATCATTCCCATATTGATTTCAATTTAAGAGCCACCGGTAGACAGCTGTTTCAGCCTATTGGCCATCGTCAGTACCGGCGGGCGGTCCTCGATTGAAGACAAAATGTGAAAAATCAAATTGGTTCCACTCATGTCTCACTTGCGTTTATGCATTTATTTTCATTGAGTACTTTTTTGGGTTGTCTTCTATCGAGGACCGCCTGCCCGGTACTGACGATGCCCAATAGGCTGAAACAGCTGTATACCGGTGGCTCTTAAATTGAAATCAATATGGGAATGATCAAAGAGTACTTATCTATTTATTTTTTGATTTTCATGGAATTATTTTCCAGCAGCTTGACTGCATTAACCTTTCTAGATTTCATATCATTTCTAGAAACATGTGGATTCG